TCTATCCTTAGTAACAAGGTCCTGAAAAAAATTGCTGGATGTTCGCCTAGTAGCTATGTTTGTCATCGCGGGGGGTTTGGATGTGTTTAATGGACTTGAGTTGAAGGCAGAAAACTAAAAAGAAATCTAGAAACAGAGAAGGAGTGAGCAACAGCTGCAGGGAGCTGGTGGTAAACATGGGTTCAAGGAAAAGAACTTGAACTGGGAGAAAGTGGTAAGGATGTGGACAGGTTCCTTGCAGCCCTTTTTCTGCTCTTCTCAGAGCCTGTGAGATGTGTGGGTATTTTTCGGTCCATTTTCCCCACCAGTGATGCTGGTTGGAGAAGAGGTGGCTTGTCCTGAAAGCAGGTTTAGTGACAGAGGAGATTCAGCCTGGTGCTGGGCAGGTTGCTGTGAGGTTGGGAGACATTTTTGGAGAGAAAAACCAGCTGTATCCTGACTGAGAGCAACAAGCATTGACCTCCTGTGATTTGTTGTTGGGATGGGTTGGAGGCTGAATAGTGGCTTTGCTTTTTTTTTCCTTTTCAAGTTCAAAATGCAGCCTGTGAAAGACAAACCACAGCAGCACGTGGGGATTTCTGCTTGGTTCCCATATTATGAACAGGAAAGTTTCAAATTCCCAGTTGTCTCACTCCCTTTGAAAGTTCAGCTCATGCACATGTTGACCAAAATATCAGAGGGGTTGTTTTTAAATAGGAGTAATAACAGTTGGGGGAGACTGACTCACTGGATGGAAGTCTCTTGGTTTTTTGAGCCCAAGGAAAAAATAAGTAATTTTTAGTTGTACTCCGTGGCTTTCCCACATTAGCTTACCCCAGATTTTTGTCAGTGAGATCAGGATTTGGACTGTGCATTTCTATGGTCATCAGCTATGTGACACATCATGTCAATAAACATGGTGGAGCTGTTTCCTTGATAATATTCATCATCTTAGAGGTTCCCTTTGCTAAAATACAGCCAGGGTTGACATAACTAGCAACCCCAGCACTAGATCATACCCATTTGCCCAGGACTGATACTCCATCCGACGTAGTCAAAGGGCATGTTCACAGTATTGGACAAGTGTAATTTGTCCTCTCCCAGGCAGTGAGAGTCCCAGGCATGCACTCTTTCTGTGTTTACTCCAGCCAGATCTCATCTCCAAGTTACATGACTCACTTTACATCCCACCACTCGCAAATTCTCCCCTCCTTTGCCTGCTTGATCATGTTTCTTTGAGTGGCTTTGCCTTTGGGAGTTTGGGGTTGAACTGGGGGGGTGTTCTGGGGGTTGTAAATGAGGTATGTATGTGTGTACGTGCAGATCTGTATCTACCACATGTCCAAGAACAGGAAACCTCTTGCCTGCTTTTTTTGCCTTTCTCTCATCCTTTTTTGCTTTTGCTTATCCCAGGCAGCCTGCTCATTGCCAAAATGTAAGAATACTTTTTTAACACTTTGTCTGATGTTTTTGCTTCACCTGAAAGAGCCAGAACTGCAAATGCCAATATCTTGGTGAAAAAAGAAAGGCTTCTTGGGTTTGTTTCATCCAGCCATTTCCAAGGGAAATAAAGAGGCTAAATACGTTCATAAAAATGCATGAAATGCAGTGTGGGAATTGTTGAATGACAGTAATAGAGGGGCAGAAGTGTCAGGTTTTATACATACTGGTGTCGACAGACTCTCAAAAATTTTCCAAGTAGCGTTTAAAACTGTTAGAACCCACTGACTTTTTGCTAGTGCATATTTAGCTTTTCTTCTTCAAACGTAGCCCATTTTTTTTTTTTTTTTTTTTTTTTGTAAAAACAAATAGGAAAATGTTGGCCTGATTAAGAACAAGAATGAAAAAAGAAAGAATAATGTTCCTTACTTACAAAATGAACTGAACTTTATCACTAAAAGAGATTGTGAACACAATTACTTAGTTTTGGGGTTAAAATATCTTAGCTAGTTTGTTTCTACACAGCTTACTATGACTTTCACGTAAAATGACAGCTCGTTCCAAAGTCAGACTTTCCATCTGAGAATGTTTTTATTTGTTTCTCTTGCAAGAAACTCTTAAGAATGAAAGTTTTTTTAAAAAGTCCTGTGTGTTGCTACATGGGACAGCATTTTGTTTATCAATAGTCTGACTTCTACCCTTTATGTCTTAAATGATTTTTCCTCTTTGTTTGTGCTGGTCTTTAAGCATAAGAGCATCTAAAGCTACAGATCCCACAGCATTCAGACAGGGGTCTGAAATTACTCTGAATTCATAATTTGGGATCTACTATGAATTCAGTGTTTTCTCTTCTTGTGAGTGCTGTCTGTGTCTCTAAGACTCCAGCACACCTCAAAGATCCCAGCTGACACACCAGTACTGAGAGTGGCAGAATAGGGACTTAATGCCCTACAAGATATTTAGGCTGGTTAAATTTTTTCTTATTCTGCCTGCAAATATTCACCCTGGAGTAGCAGCTGGTAAATAAGACAAAATTGAGAATTTTAAGCAGAGAAATAAAGCAGGAGCCACAGTTTATTGACCACCCTGGTAAAGAGGAAGGCTTCCTGCACTTGAGACCCAGCCTGGAGGTCCTTGGTGGCCAGTGCAGTGGCTGAGGAAGGCACATGCACATCTGTTTTACTTTGAGCATAATGTCCCAGATGTCCCATGCCTGATTACTGCTTGTTGCCTGAGGTTACTTTTTTCCCTCAGCTTTGGCACTGGCTGGAGAACAGGTATCCAACCCTCATCCTCTGGCCAGCTGAAAGGCAGAGTCCTGTGGACTATCCTGCAGTAGTGCTGATGTTTCTTGCTTTGCTTCTCCTGGAGATGGTGGAGCCCAGTTCAGCCACACAGTCAGCTATCTGGGAGGGTTTATGGTGGATTTTATACAAGCTGAAGAAACAGAACTGAAGTAAAGAACTGAATAGGAAGCTGTTAAAATACCACTAAAGTAAAGAGAAAATAATCACCTTATTCTTTCCTATATTTACAGAAAAGATAACTTCTAATACCTTCCCTTCTCATGTTTCCTCCCAAGCACTTTGTTGTGGGAATGTACTTATTTCCATCTCTTCCTCCACAAACTCCAAAGTAGGTGCTTTTCATTTGATCTTTTCAGTTTTGGTACAATTCATTTCAGTATTTCACTCAGCCTGCTCACATGCATACTAGACTCTAGCACTCATGTTCCTAAATGCCCCGGCAACTCAAGTCGGTCGCAGCTGTGAGTTTTTTCACGCTTTTTTTTTCTTTCACCTTCCAGTTTCCTTTTCTAGTGCCTCTCTCGTTCCCCAGGGAGGTAGCAGTGAGGACCAAAGCTGGTTCCCAGCATCTGAGGGAGATGACAAGCTCTTTTTGTGACGGTGTCTTCAGGGGATGAAATGTGCTAACGCAATGCAAATCACCCTTATGAAACAGCCAAATGTTTTGGGACTCTGTCTTAAAAATATTCCACAAATACGGCTCTGGTGCCTTTCTTTCATTTCCTCTAGTCGGAGGCCAAATCATCTGAAAATATATCTGTTTTCTAGCTGTCCTGTGTTATGACACAGCTGGAGTTGGTTAAAATCTAGAGGGCAGTATCTGGCTTAAGCTGATGGGTCTTCGTGCGGCTTTGATTTATTATTCTAGAACAGCCTGTCCACTCTTCCATCCTGTAGATAGTTTTGTTTGGTTTTAATGAGAAAACCAGAAAAAGACTGAAATAGCTTTGCTTTTGCGCTCTCCATGTGTAATGCAAAGGAGAGGTCTAGGCATGCATATTCCCAGATTTCTCTAAATGGAAGCAGTTTCCCCCCATTTATTGCTCTGCAGGCAGGGATGTGTGGCAGGTCATTTCAGGGTAGCCTTTGGAAAAAAATTTGTCTTCCTGAGCTTGTAGGACCCACAAAGACAGCCAATGAAGGTGGTATTTGTCTTTCTCTAAGCCAAATTTATATTCTCATATTTTAACCAGGAAGCCAGCTAGTTAAAAGAATACATTTAAAGCCTGGATGGTTTTGGTAATATCAGGAAAGCTAACCACGGTGCTGTTTCAGGCACCTCGCTGTGGCACACTGAGCCACTTCAGAGAGTGGAAAGGAAGAAAACAAACTTAAGTTAATTATCTTGGTATTCAGTTTTTCTTTTTAGGTGTAAACTTCTTGTGGCTTTCTGCTATGCACAATAAAAGTGCATCCCGCAGACAGGAGAGGGTGTCAGGACTTTTGCGGAAGATCCTTCGCGGAAGGTCCTTCCCATCAGTACCTGAATTGCACCGTGGCTGCATCTTTTGGCTCTGAGTCTTGTAACAAAGGCTTCTAGTTTGGAGACAATTTTTCTCTCCACAAGGATGGTGATGAGAATTACAGGAAAAAGGAAAGCTACAGGGGCAATTTTTTTGTAAATGTGCATGCTGAAATTTTGGTAGACAAGAGTTAAAAGATTATTTAACTTTACCCTTAGTTATTCTAAACTGATGTTGAAGAATGAGCTGGGGCGAGGGAAATTTTAATGGAAACCATAATAATAAACTTTGCTGTAAAGTGGAGGAAGCAGGTCTCTTTAGACCATGGCTCTCGTTCAAGTCAGAGATTACTTTCTAATTCCTGAATCCCTGCCCCCGGTGAAACGTCTGCTGGATGCCGGTTCCCTCTCCCACAGCAGCTCCGGATGAACTGAAACAAGCCCTGGCTACCTCAGGAGACACGAGTGGGTATGTGACTGGTTGTACCTCAGCCTTATGGGGCAAAGAAGAGAAAAATCTCTGGTTTTAAGCCATCCTGGCACCTGACTCAAAGTCCTCTGAGGTCAGCTGGGGTCCCTGGATCAGACCTTTGTAATAAGCAGCCGTTCTTTCCAGACAAAGCAAAAAAACCTGATTTTCTTTGGCTTTGAGGATTTGTTGTGTTGTTTTTTTAAAGGAGGAAGAGAAACTCAAAGGACATTTCTTTGTTTTTGCCTGAAGACTGTACTCTTGGCTGCAGACCATCTCTCTTTTATTCAAGCCCTTAAGTGCAATTTCTCTCTTTCCCCCTGCCTCCCCTTTTTGCCAACAGAGGGGACTGGCTGCATGTTGCCCTCTGCTATCCCAGGGAAGCCGTTTTCCAAGTGGTGGCAGATATCTACCAGCGACGGACAGGGACGGTGCACAGTGTAAAGCATTACCTCGCTGCTCCTTCCCAGGCCAGCGCTCTCAACGGGACCGGCGAGCGGCTCTTCTACTTCGACAGAGCATCGGGGTGAGCCCTGCATTGCCCCTGAATGGGCAGCAAACGTTCAGGGTCTTTCTCTTACCAGCCCCAGCGCCTCCTTTCCCTTTCTCACAGTTAAAGTTCAGGCCCATTCATCTTGCATGGTCTTTTCACTGATTTCTGGTCAAGATGTATTTACAGGCTGGAGTACCTAGGGTAGGACTGTATCACCGAGCAGCGATTTGCATTGCTGTGAAGAAAATGGCTGATTTCTTGGCTGGACTTAGGTCCTTTGAGGCATCCCTGCTGCTCAGACTGCTGCAGGTGTGGGTGCACTGTAAATATTTGTTAAAATCCATTGCACCCCAAAGGGCCATAAAAAGGAGCCCTCTCGTGACCACTGCAGCTCCAACACTTGAAATAATTTGGGAAGTTTCAATTTCTTCATATTCCTATGAAGAGAGATTTGTAAAATCATCACTTCCTAAAAATTAGCTTTTATGAAAAAAGTAGAGCATTGTAGTACATCTTTTATTTTAGAGACATGAAGAGAGTCCTAGAGATCTTGCACTATCTTTACTAGACTCTAGGACACCTTTGGTTAAAAAAACATTACGAAACTGTGTTTCTTAGTCAGCCAAAACAGTTAGGGAGGAAAAAAGTGTTTTGTGGTCTAACCATGGGTCCCATGATGCTTCACCTGACTAAGTAACTGCTTCAGGAATCAACCCACAAATGCCAGATTTGAAAATAAAATGGGATATATTTATTCATTCAGCCATAACACATGAGCTATCGAATCCCAGAATGCCATCACTGCTAACTGGGCTCCTTGCTGGTGGCCAGGTCTCTCTCATCACAGGAATTGTGAAATAATGATTTGTTAATTAAT